GTTTTGGATTATGAACTCCGAGACAAGCGTTTCGTTAAAAATATACAGGTGAGGGAATCCTGAGAATAAAGCTCTTAATAACATAAGCTGCTACGTAAACATATACCTCGTCTTTTCAATTTGAAAAAGGGTTTTTTGTTTTTAATTAAGTTAAACTGTCAGAACTGTTCTTACCCGAAATTTGCGCTGTGACATGGATTTTTTAGAAAAAACAGTATGTAATACGTGTATAAGTGTACAGCTTGTTTTTCTAAATTCATTAATGTATTATACTTTAATCACCCATACCCCGCCACTGTTTGATTCGAGCGCATCATGTTACGAAAACACACTTGTCTATTTTGGTCTAGAGTGACCATGATGGGAAACGGTTTAACAATGGATCCAAAAATATGAATGAATTGATAAAGGTAGAAGTTATACCTGTGTTAGTGAGTTTTTCTACTTAAGAATATTTTGGTCGATATTATTTGGTGTATCACTCTTGAGATTTGACCAATAAAAAAATATAATAGACAATAGCAATAACAGCATCATAAAAAAACAAAAAACCCCATCCGAACGTATGCGATTTTCGCATTTACATGTTTGAAACCCAACACTCGACGTGATCAGTAGACAGCGGATTTCTGTCGGGCTACGTCACGATATAGGTGGGGACGCGCTGCATCGCCGGGACTCAGTAGCGGGTGATAGGTAATCACTGAATTTAATTCTCACTTGATTCCATAAATACAAATAACGATTTATTAATCAAACGGCTAAGTAAATGAGAACTGGAATTAACAGCAGAGTGCAACGAAGCAGCGTTATTCTAATCTCAAATAAACGAAGTGCAGCCGGTAACTGCAATAAATTCCCATCCCGTACGAGCCGTACCGAGTTTGGCCTTGTCTAGCCCGACAGAAATCCGCTCTCTAGTGATCAGCCACGCAATAACCTTGCGGGAAGTCTGCTTATGCTAGGATAAAAGCTTGCTGTATAATTTCGATTTTTTTGGAAAAATTGGGATATTTCGGAGAGTGAGAAAATCTGAAGACGAATTCATAAAAAACAAGTACAGTAAACAATGTCATCACATTGGTGCTAGGGATAATTAGGTAAATTTGACAACATTCCGTCCAATAGTTTCTAATAAAAATCGATACAGACTGCTAAACAGACGGAAACGGGAGACTATTTTTTTTTAATCAAAGGGCCATGAAACATCGAGAAAACAGGAAACTGACAAGTCGCCCTATAGAAGTAAAACAAAATAGAAAAAATGAGTAGTATACTTGATAGTAACTACATATAATATTTGCAACACTGTAAGGATCCTGCCAAAATTTAAATAATAATAAAAAATTGGTCTAAAGAGTTTAGACAGTACTTCCCTCACTGTCGGAAACTTGACGACTGCATGGCTATTGTGTTTTTTTCTCATTACATTTTTGTAGTGGGAATTTAAAAAAAATTGCGATGACGTCAACATATTTGCAAGGACACGTATATCAGTTGGGATAGATGTAGTGTAATACTAAGAATAAAATTATTGTATTCCCAAATTTTCGGGAAAATGAATTGGGTAGTTTTGAATATTGATTTTTTATAATCAATAAAATAACGAAACAATTTACTCACGTATACGGCAACTGAAAATCGTTTATGTATAAACATTCTTAATTTAAGATGACAAGCGTAACAGCATACGTGTGAGTCAAACAGAGAAACTGTAAACAAAACGACCATCGGTTTTATTGCTTCGACTTCCGTTTATTATATAAAACATTGGGTTTTATTTTAATTCTTGACGGTGAAATTCACAATTGGTTGATTATAAACATGTCTATTTCACATTCGCGGAACCAAGTGATCGCATAAAACAAATGCAGGTCTGTAATGTTATAGTCGATATAAATAAGCGTGCTACCCTTATGTTTCAACCGAGTTTTTCCTTTAACAAATTTTGTGTCTACCAAATTGGGTTGGTTGAGGTGTAATAATAAGTGTTGCCTTTAATTTAATCAATAAAATAAATTGACTTCATTAATTTTTTTGAACCACCTCTTAAGAAAATCTAAAAAATATGAATGGAATGATAAATCACAAGTACAAACTCATCATTATTTTGCATTTTAGATAGGATTTATTCAGCAAAATTTAAGGGTGACGTCATCAATTTTTTTAGGAGGGATGAACAAATACATTTTGAACAAAAGTTTACCATGCTTATAATAACTTTAAAATATTCCCAAGATTTCAAAGCATTCGGTTTTGTAATTCCTAATTAAATCGATAAAATAAATTCACGCCTTCATTAATTTTTTTGAGTCACCCTGCATATGCAAATCCAAAAAATATGAATGGAGTGATAGATCACAAGTACAGACTCATCATATTTTGTACATTTTAGATATGATTTATTCCACAAACTTTTGAGCTGACGTCATCAAGTTTTTGGAGGGGATAAGCAAATATTTTTTGACTAAAGATTTATGATGCTTTTTATAGCCTTAAAACATCTGCAACATTTCAAAGCATTCTGGTTAGCAGATTAAAAATAAATTTCAAAATGTTGTTTTATAATTTTGATTTTTTTTCCAAAAATCTGGACGTTTCGGGTGAAAAGTCGATTCAGAGTTGTAAACTACATGTGTAGGACTATGTTATTTTATACAATTGAAAACCCATTTACTATGTACAATTTTGAAGTGACGTCATCGCATTAGTGGTGGGGATGATTAGACAAATTTTGGTTAGCGTTTTACCATCTACATGATATTCTTAATATAAGCACAAAATTTCACAACAATCGGTCGAGTACTTTCGGAGATTATCTGTCTAATAAAAATCCGGGACAACAGACGGACGGACAGACGGACAGACAGACGGAAATGGGAGACCTATTTCTTCGTCTTCTAGGGGTCATGAAAGATCGAGAAAACGTAAAAGTAGAGAGTCGGCCGACGGACTCGATTACAATACTTCCTTTGCTTACGCTCGGGAAGTAAAAAGTGGTTGTTTTAATTATTGAATAATTGGTTTAAAATTATTTATACAAAAATTTTCGCACCCTAGAAGTACAAAGAAGTTAATTTTTTTAGATAAATTATCAAATTCGATTTTGCAAAATTTATTTATTTTTTATGGTAAGCCAGATAAGTTGAAATAAATATGTACTGATACGCGGAACTGGTTAACTGCAGGTAAAACAAGTTACAATACGTATAAGGATGAACACACGCGTGAACTTTACCTTTTGTGGTTATTATGGTTAATTTAGGTTTAATAAATATTTTAATTGTTTTGTTTTCATTCATTTATTTTATTCATAATTTTATCTATGTTATAAATTTCTATATTATATATCTTAATGACCGCAATAAATATTCTATTCTAGTTTATTCTATTATAGGTATATTTCAAATGAGTTTTTCAAAACAAAATTTTGTGATGACATCATAAACTTTTTGGCAAGGACACATACGTCAACTTGGATAGGCACAGTAGGTACCAATATATTCTTAAAATTTCAGGAAAGTGTGGTCGATGTGATAAATAAAATTAATTATTTTATCGATTTCACCCTGTATCATCATATTGATATACATACCACAAATGTAGATTCAACGTTTTGAGATTACGTCATCAAGTTTTCGCAGGGGAGAAACAAATACATTTTGATTAGTGATTTACCTCGAAGCGTTTGCACGAATTGAGAGTACTCAGTTTTGCAATTTTTAAGCGAAGTTGGTAGAGATGATCCTACAAATTTAGATAGCGTTTTACCATCTACACTACATTTCTATAACAACCATGCAATTTTACAATAGTCGCTCCAGCAGTTTCGGATAAAATAAATTGGAATACAGACAGACAGTACATCAAATTAATCTTCCATCAGGCGAACGCATTACAGTACTTCCCTAGTTTTTGCTCAGGAAGTTGTCATTTGTATCAACCACGAAATCATTATCATTGTTATCGTTTTTTGGCAAATAACAATGATACCAATACATTATTTAGTTGTGAGAAGTTTTATTAAATTATGAACTACGAGACATGCGTTTCGTTAAAAAGCCTCATCCTCAAGATTCCGTCACTAGCAACAACGTAAATCGTTGGGTCTTTCAACTGTATAAAAGTTTTATTGTTTTTTAAATAAGCTGAAGTGTCACAACTATTCCTATCATAAATTTGTACTAAGGCACTGTTTTGAAAAAAAAAAAAACATGTAACACGTGTAGAAAGGTGTATTGATAAGCAGTGGCAATATAAGATCGAAAAAACTTGTGTAAAAATAACTGTTCCCATAAATATTTATGGAGCCCAAATTTAGGATCATTTCTTATTTAACAAGGTTGGGGGAAAAGCAATTAGAATTAGTAAGTAGGTAAAGTCATTAGGTACTTCCATTTGTATGTCTTACAGGGTATCGATCTCTCTAATGATGGTGCTACCATAAACTTAATACATTTTCAATAACCCGAAGACATTATGTTTGACGTTAATACCTTCTAAGTAAGATAATAAAAAAGTAACAATGAGTAGGCAATGATCGAGCGATAGAAGAAAATTTCATAGTTAATGATTTATGCATGATGTACCTAATGACCCAATTTCACGTCGGTATGCGTGAACAGAAATCAAAAAATGCGAATAAAAGCAATAAAATCGAATAGTTCCTGTAAACACGAATTTTAACAGCGGAATTTATTAATATCGCTTAATACCCATGACCTTTAAATTACAAAACACAAAAGATAAAAACGAAAACAAACCCGCCGCATTATTTGGCGCAAATAAAATTTTAAACAGTTTAGTTTTATGATAATAAACAGTTTGTTTACTGTAGTGCCCGAATTGAAATTGATTTATGACGTGCGTAGTGCCACAAACCCGACTTTCCCAATTCTTGAAAATTGCACGTTACGCCAAAACTAAGTCGCGTACGTCACCAAAGCAAAACAAAAGCACATCTCGGGGGCACACGCGCCCGCCGCCAAGCGTGTACTCACCGGGGGCAGTGTCGGGGGCAGGGCGCCGGGACGCCTCCGTCGCCTTTGTCTCCACTGTGGCGCGGGCCGCGTCTAAAACCCGTCGAAATGAGTAATCAGCGGCGTAATTTTTCCAGTGTGCATCCGGCCGCGATGTAACTGCACGGGCCGAACAGTGTGCGACGGAGAGAGGCAGAGAAGCGAGAATGAAAGCCTTTGGACGTCTGCGGGGGGTTCCGTGCACAGCGGGAGGGGGGTTGGCAAGCAATCGGACTGACACCAAGCCTAGGTCCGGCCATCTTGTGACGGCAAGCGCTCTCGCCCGCAAAACGGCCCCCGAACCGCGGAATTCGACGCGATAACGCGCGAAAAAGCCCCAAAAAGTGACCACCAGTGCCCCCGTGCCCACGCCGACTGGATCACGTGCACGCACGCAAGGAGCCCAAATCGCGGCGACGGCCTTAAGGTTTTTCGAGTTTTTACTCATGAGTGATACATTTTTGTGACTGTGACCAGCACACGCACTTTGGATACAAAAAACCGCCGCCACGGCCACGAGGTGAGTCCCACTCGAACAAAACTCCTCGATTGTTTGTTTATCTTTGGTGATAAGGCCGCCGAAGTCGATCAAGATCTTTCTTGTCGATCGATCGCCGGACGCGGCTTCAAAATAGACGGAACTCGCCACTAACAGCGATTTTTTTTCGAAAAATTCACCGCCGAACGACTGTCCTGAATGTTATTTTATGTAACAGCTGCATGCACGGCGAAATAGCGGTACTAAACGTTCATTCTCAGCGCTGTTCTTTCATTGTGTCTTCCTACATCTCCGTTTTCTAGAAAAACAATTCAACGCTTGCTATAGATAATTGTCTATGACGAGGTAATTACCCCGCGTACACCAGCGTCCTTAGTTACCCATACACGGATTCATTACTTTATTATTATTTGTTCGATAAAATTATCTTCGCCGGTTACTCTAATACACGAATAAGCTAATTACGACCAATTTCCCTCTTACTCAGGCCACAATTAAGTTTCTCGTTCCAAATGTTTCAAGACAACGTCCAACACGTCACTCAGTCAAAGCTAAAGGTTGACCAGGTTTAGCCCATATTCTTCCCCACTTATCGATAAACTCGATGCTTTTCTTCCCATCGTATGGGTTATAAATAAGTCGGATTAAGAAAATGGTTGTTAAGGTCACCTTTGTCTGTTATTATTTGATGATGCTGTGACAGTTTCGACGTACAATTTAGCTTCGTCACGGTGTTCCATGTAAATCCTTTTATTTTTGAAGTTTCAATTAACGAAATTCGACCGACACACTCGCATTTTTAACGCGCTAGAAATGTAACGTTTGTCTGATTGTTGATTTCAAACTAATTATTTATACTATTTGGGTCGACGAAGGCCGTTGACCTGGTCTGTTGGGACCATAAAATTTTCAAAAAAGAAAAATCGAAAAACAATGAACGCTGATGTGAATAATTAATGCACAATTAGGGGCCATCAAGTTGACAACGCTTCGGTGGCTTACTACCCTATATGTTTCATGTTGGACACTTTTCAAAAATCTCCAAGAGTAAACCATCTATTGACGTTTCTATATCATTGAATATGGTTATTAAATTGTGCAATAACACGTTTAAAATATACAATATGTTACATATTTATATTTTAAAAGGTGTGAAGTTGCACTGTAATACTAATAAACAAGAATGGGGATAATTTATCGTATTATTTTATTAGTCAATTACAAAATATGTAAAGAAATGTTAATTCAGCGGAAAAGGTCGATAAAGAGGCATGATTGGATTATTAAGTGAAGTCGAAAATTTGTCTTTATTTAAGTTAGAATGCACGAGGTTTTTACGTCCTCTGATGTTACTTAATTAAACTTTAGATTAGATTGCTACATAAGCAATATTGCTCTACGTAACCTAGGCTTGATATCTTCTAATAAATTTTACGGATCATTGACAGAGTTTGTTTCCTTTTAAACAAATCTAGTAATCATTGCCCAAAAAAACCCAAAACGGCGTGCGAGTCAGTGACTACAAGGAGTATGCTTTTTTGTGACAGTGACCACTACACCCACTTTGGCTACAAAAAAACGCCGGCACGGCCACAAGGTGACTTCCATACGAAGAAAGCTTGTTTGTTTATCGTTGTTGATAAGGTGGCCGTGAAGTCGATCTCCTTGTTTCTCGTCGAGCGATATTCAGAACAGACGAAGCACTTTCTGAATGGCATTTTTTCGAAAAATTGTGGATACTATTTTATGTAGCAGGCGCGTTTTCGAGAAACACGATTGAATGCTTGTTGTAGACAATTACCCATGGTGAAGTTCTTAGTTACCCGTATCCGGCTTCATTAGTTTATTAATTGTTCGATAAAATTATCTTCCCCGCTTACTTTAATGCAGGCATAACTGTTAATTAAGTTTTAAGACAATTTCTGGCAACCTTGTCGTGAAAAGCAGAGATTTGACCACGTTTAACCCATATTCTTCCACTTATCGAAACCGGGTTATAAATAAGCCCGATTAAGAAAATGCTTGTTAAGGTCACCATATTATTATTTGATGATGCTGTGGCAGTTTCGACGTACTTCAGCTTCGTCACGGTGTTCTATGTAAATCCTATTATTTTTTAAGTTTCAATTAACGAAGTGGTTTTTGCAACCAGACGCATTTTTAATGCGCTAGAAATGTAGCGTTTGTTTGGTTGATGATTTCAAAGTAATTATTCATACTATTTGGGTCGACGAAGGCCGTTAACCTGGTCCGTTGGGACCATAAAATTTTCAAAAAAGAAAAATCGAAAAACATTGAACGATGATGTGTGTAATTAATTCGCACTGTGGGGTCAGTAAGTTGGCAAGGCTTCAGTGGCTTACTGGCCTACATGTTATACTTTGTACATTTTTCGAAAAACCAGGAATATGTAAACACGTATTGACATATGTGGCTGAAAATGGTTGCGTAATGAGGTATTTATGCTTTATAGTGCGTTATTAAATGTTACAATGACAAGTTTAATGTATATGCAAGATTTTACAAATCATTAATATATTTCTTTCTTTTGTACAAGACATAAGGAGTGGCGTATTATAATCAAAACTCGATGCGACTGCAAACAAAGATGGCAAACCACAAACTTTCGTATGCACTACCGTATAACACCAACTTACGTGGTGTCAAACGTACTGACTCAGTTCGAAAGTAATCTTTAAAACGTGCGGGTCAATGGCGACGCGGCTTTTGGTGACTACTATGAGTATACATTTTTTGTGCCAGTGACCAGTTTGGATACAAAAAAACGTCTCTACGGCCACAAGGTGACTTCCCTATCAATGCTTGTTTGTTTATCGTCGTTGATAACACGATCTCTTATTCAAAAGTGCTTTGTGAATGGCAATTTTTTCGAAAAATTCAGTGTTCTGGATATTATTTGATGCAACAGATGTGTGCATAGCGAAATAGCGGTACTAAACGCTTATTCTCAGCGCTGTTATTTCGTGGTGTTTTCTTGCATCGTCGTTTTCTAGAAAAACGACTCAACGGTTGTTATGGACATTTTGTCTATACCGAAGTGAATCTACCAGCGTCCTTAGTTACCCATACACGACTTCATTAGTTTATTATTTGTTCGATAAAATTATCTTCGCCGGTTAGTTTAATGCACGACTGAGTTAATTACGACCAATTTTGCTATTTGTTGACTTCATAATTAAGTTGGCCGTTTTAAAATGTTCTAAGATAACGTCCAAGACCCATTAATAACAGTTGACCAAGTTTTGCCGAAATTTTTCCCTAGTATGATTTATGTAAATTCTTTTTTAATTGTCAATGAACCAAATTGGTGTTTCTGCCAGACTTTTTCATTTTTAATGTATTAGAAATATAGTGTAGTATTATTTGGGTCGACGAAGACCATTGACCTGGAGTTTGCAGCATAATGTTTCCAAAAAACCAAAAACATTGGACGTTGATGTGTTTAACTCAAGCACAGTTTGTGGTCGTTAATACGCCAATACTGCCTTGGTTTATTGCCGTATATGTTTTTGCGTTCTACATTTTTTGAAAAAATTGGAATATGCAACATGTGTCGATCTTTTTGTTATTATAATGTATGGGTGCGTAGTAAGGTGTCTATGAGTCCGTAATACTTTATTAAATTGTGCAATAACAAACTTAATGTATACAAGATAATACATATTTAATTTTTAAAGTTTCAAGAAGTGATCTTTTAGAGATTATTATTACTTGAAGATGGGGTGTTTTTCGGTTTTTAAAAAGTGTTGTGATGAATATACTTTTTTATTTAAACTTCGTTTAATAAACAAAACGATTATTCAGCTGTCTCTGTTTACAACCAAGTTTGTTAATAAAACCCAAAAAAGCGTGATCGTAACTTCCGATGAAGTGCGATTCGAAATAGATGTCACCAGGGAATGAACAGACCGCCAACTGTCAAATCAGTCAAAAACGTGCAGTTATTTATCACGGTCTCCTTCGACGCCAAATTTCATTAATCACCTAATGTATTAATTTAAATACTACATTGATATTCGCAGTGGTGAAATATTAACAAAGATTAGTTTGTCACATACCTAATAAATTTGTTATATTTTATTTTTTTCACGCAACATCAAATAATTTATCCCGAAAATCACAAGGAGATAGCGCTTCATAACAAAACCCTAATAATGCGACTACCAACAACGATAATAAACCAAAACTTTTGTGTTTACAACATTTAACTAAAGCAGTTTCAAACCTAATGACTCACTTCGAAAGTAATTTTTAAACTCGTGAGTCAATCGGCGACTGCTGCAAGTACACATTTTTGTGACCAGCACACACAAAAAGCGTCGCCACGATAAGAAAATGTCCGATCGTTTGTTATCGTGGTGATAAGACGTCTGTGGAAATTGATCTGGGTCTTTGTCGTCGATAGATTGCCGGACGCGTATTCAAAACAGATGAAGCGCGATGTGAATGCCAAGTTTTTCGAAAAATTTAGAGCGAAACGACAGTTCGAAGTGTTTTATGGAACAACTGCATACACGACAAAATTGCGCCGATGTTTTATTGGTCTTTCTATTTTCTTTTCCTAGAAAAACAATTGAACGATTGCCATAGGTAACTGCCTGTAACGAAATAAATATCCCGCGCACACCAGCGACCTTAGTTGCCCATACAAGACTTACTAGTTCGATAAAATGATCTTCAGCTGTTATTTTAATACACGAATAGCTAATTACGACCAGTTTTCCCCCTTCTTACATGTGTAATTAAATTCTCCGTTTCAAATGTGTTGACTGTTGAGATATCGTAAACACTACCGTAATAATAAAAGTAAAAGTCTGTCCAGGTTGTCTCCTATTCTTTTACATTTACCAGTATATAACTGCGCTTTCTTTCTTTAATAGGGGTTATAATATAATTAAGTCACCTCTCTGGTACTATATACCGCACAAATTCGCATTTTTGACGCAGTAGATGTGTCTGATACCATTTGGGTCGATTAAAGCCATTGACCCATTTTGTGG